ACGACCCCATTTAGTTTCCTTTTATTTTCGGACTAAAACATGCAAGTGGTCGACAAGAAGCAACATGAAGTTTTTAGGTCTGAAAGTACGCGTTGCACTCTTTTTTCCTTGGTCCGGTTTTGTTTCAAATGGTTTTTCAGCAAGGTTTTTAACGAGGCAACAATGGATCGTGCTAACTTAGAATTAAAGACCGATCACGAATCGATGTCGAAGATCGCATTAACAGTATCCGAGGTTCCTCTACAATCAACCTTGAATACTGGGGGGCATTACTCTCGGATATACATTACCCTCGGATATCAACTTTAATTTAGCAAGGAAATTACTTTGTAAAAAAAGGGTCTCGATAGGTAGGATTTATTGTAAGGGCCAAATGGTCAAACGAACCGTGCCCACATAGATAGCTTGATCCTTGGCATAAAACATGTACACATGTATAACTGTTTTGCACAAGAATAAAGAGAAGTACTTTCCTTGCAATCATCTTATGTTTTAAAAAATTTCTCTTTACATCCCTTAAAGAATTTCGTACTTCCGATCACCTAAAGGTAACAAGCTCAAGGTCCGTTTATAACCAGAGTTTGAATGATCACTCCCTCACTCGGGAACTGCCGTCCAAAAACAAACTCAAACTGCCCAAGTCACTGGGCCTCGGGGGCATAAAACCTATTAGGCAACCCGTGGATTTTAAAGGCCATGGCCACCCCGCTCGGGGACTGTTATCTTGGTCAAGCCCGGATAGCTAGGGAAAGCAAGTCCAATGGGAAAATCCCGAAATAAAATGTTACGACCATATTAACATGGCTCAGAGATGTCCGAAACCCGTAACAAAAACTAGGCCTTCAAAAAAGAAAATTTATTCATAATCGGTTCTAAAGGCTACCCTCGGCGAACTATAATCTCGGCTACCTACTGTGGGAAAAAGTTTCCGGTGACACCGAACCCCCAAGATGCCTTAAAATGGAGTAATGTAAAGGCGAGGCTTGTTTGAACTTTCGAACATAACCTAAGTTATTTTATGCTAAGGCTTTCGGGCCCTCGTGAATACAAGTAATAAGGCAAGGGGAAAATCTGAAATCCGAAAGGGAAAGAAAGCCTTATATATATATATATATATCCAATAATCGTTTTACAAAGGCCAGAATGGCCCGATACAGAAATCTACAATGGCCAAAACGACCTAAAAAGGATGCAAAAAACAAAAAATAAAAACATCTAAAGGCCTAAGTGGATTGGTCCCCATCGGAGGTAGAATCTTCATCCCCGGGATCTTCCCTGCCTTCAGACTCGCTTAAGCTCTTAGAATCTTCCTTGGGAAAAGCCAGTTTCCAAGCCCTTGCTTCTTCAACTTTAGCATTCTCGATTTCAGCTAGTATGTCGAAGTTCTAAGCATGAACTCCCTCGAGGGCTTCCCTTTGAGCTTGCCACATTGCATGCTCCACCATACTTTTAGCCTGCGCCTGAATCTCCTCGATATTAACCTTGAACTGGGCCACTTTAGAATCAGCCTCGGTCTTGGCCACAACAACCTCTGATTTGGCCACCTCGAGTTCCTTGGCCAAATTCTCTTGACTAGAAATAGCCGAGTTTAGATGAGATTAGAGCTCCTCGATCTTTTTGGCTTGCACCAAGATTTTCTTTTTTGCAGCCCAGAGCTGGGGCTCGGCCGAGGCCAGTTATGCTTGGACAACTTCCTTTTTCGAGGCTAAGATGTCCATATTTTTCTTGAACTTCTCGACCTCAACTTGTATCGTGTTTTCACCTACGCTTGGAGCTTCCCGATTTGTTCAAGCCTCTGTCAGACCTGCAAGATTGGATCGTTAACCACTATGTCCAATTCGTCGTCACTATCTTGAAGTACTCGATTTACCTGCTCGGCCCTTTTGGCATGCTCCCTCCGAGCCGCTTCTAACTCGACCTGCAGTTTCTCACTAAGAAACTTGTAGGTGTCCCTCTTCTCAGTAAGATTCCAAACCTCGACCTCGTATTGGGTTAACTCCTCCCGGTATCGGAGGAAAGTCTCATGGTACAGTACCTAAGCCTGCAAGCATAAAGGAAGGTGTTATGATTATTTACAACTTTAAGTTTAAAATACATAATAAAAAAGACACTCGAAGTTACCCGATTCAACGCCTGTTGAGATTCAATGAATAGGAAGGGGGTTTCCACTTTGTCCATCACGACCTGATCCTCTTCGGTCACCAAACATCGAAGATAGCTGGCAACCCCCACGAGGGAAGAGAAAATCTGGGCATTCTCCGGGATAGAGAAAACTATTGACCGCTTTCGGTCAGGATCAATACTCGGGGCCGGGAACTGGTTCGCTAACTTTGGGCTCGAAGAATACCCACTTGCTCCCGGTGATGGTACCTTATTTGGCACCGTTAAATCTCCGAACCTAGTGACTCCTCCCAGGCATTAGATTCTAAGCCTGCAAAGAAATAATTGATATCTGCCTCCCCATAAGGCCCCTCGTGTGGACGCTCTTTTAGCATACCGACCTCATTGATCATGGAGTCGGAGAACACAGGAGACCCGCACATCTTTCGAGGCACTTTCCCCTGCTCGACATCAGCCTCAGTTTCTTTTTCGACCCCTCTAGCTTGAGGCAGAGTGGCCTCACTCCCCTCTGGTTCGGGAGCTTCGGCTAAAGTTCTCCCATCGATATCCTCAAGTCGAGGCGGTTCAATTTTAACACCCGTCAGTTCGGAGGCCTCTCGTATCAAGACACCTACCCGCACGCGGGCAACCAACTTGGATTTATCTTTTTCTTCTTCTTTGGACTCATCCCTTAGTCGGTGGACTAAGTTCGAGGATAGAGCGCCGGTTCTTCCCTTGGGTTTACGTGCCAACCTCCTCTTTAGTTTTTTCTTTTACGAGTCTGAAGAATTCGGAACCCTTTTCCTTTTCTTCTCGTTACCCTACCTCGGAGCAGGGGACTTGAGAGGCACATCCTCATCACCAGATGGAGGCCTCATAATAACATCTTTGGGGAGACCTACAAAAGAAAATAGAACCGATAAGAATTCGACAGCACAAGGAGTAAATCAAACATTATTAAATTAGAAAAGAAAACTTATCATGATTACGGGCCTCCCACCGACCCTTCGACAGTTTGCGCCATGCATGCTTGGAATATGGTCTATGTGACACAAAATCCTCGACCCACTCCTTGAGTCGAGGAACTGCATCTGGCATCCAAGCCACAATTCCACCACAAAACGCCAATAAGAAGGGAGGGAAGGGGAAAATAATAAGTAAAATCTTTAGGCGAAGTTATACTTACGCTTCATGTTCCATTTCTCGGGAAATGACATGTCCTCTACAGGGATCAAGTCTGAGGTCTTCACTTGAACAAATCAGCCTATCTAGTCTCGGTCCCGGTCCTCATCTATACTCGAGAACGGGGCCTTATTGGCCCGACGAGTAAGTTTTATTAATCCCCCTCGGTAGATTCGGAGATTGTACAGACGCATGAGATGATCGAGGGTGAAGGGACGCCCCTCAATTTTGCTTACAAAAAAGTAGAGAAGAATCACTATCCTCCAGAAAGAGTATTGATTTGACCGAGGGTCACTTCATACCTCTTGCAGAAGACAATAATGATATGGTCTAAGGGAGCCAACGTGAAGGGGTAAGTGTAAACACTTAAAAAACCCTCCACGTGGGTAGTAAATACTTCCTCAGACGAGGGCACCATCACGTATTTATCGGCCTAATTACAATCCTCTTTGACCTTGGGGAGGAGATCATTGGTGATCGTACATATATATCCCGAGACCGGCTTGCATCAACCCGGTATCGAGGAAGTTTTTTCGATCTTGAAATCAACACCGATCGGGCACCCTCATAGAACAAACTCTTTAGGGTATTGCTCTGTCGGGGTCCCGTCGTCGGCAAGACGTGATGGAGAGGCTGTCTTTTTTTGTGGAACAATCTTAGAGTTTTCGCCATTTAAAGCAGAGACGAAGAAAAGGAAATTAAGAAGGTACGCTTAGTGGTTGCAAAGGGTTCAAGAAATCTGGATACAAAAGTTGGAGAGTGAATAGATTCTTAAAGAACAAGAGAAGAAGAAGCTTTTGAACACAAAGTTTGAATGAATGAAAGTTGAGATATTTATAGTTTGCTAATGACGGTTCAAAACCAGTAGTGGCCGACCAACAACTGGCACACATTTAATGCCTTGGAGACTGGACCGACGGGACGTTTAGGTTACCTTTTGTCGCTTACGTTATGATCTATCGAAGCGAGATTCGGAAATTCATATCCTTTCTCGTCATCTTCTCTCCGAAAACGAGGGGACTATCTGTATACGGTCAGAACCAGGTTCACTTATCGTATGACCAATCCAGACTGAAACGTGACAGGTTAAAGCTCGATCTCGGCTTATATCAAACTGAGGTGCGAAGTTGCATTGTTGAGCTCGTGACGCCGAGATCGAACAAGATCGAGGAAAATTTCGATCCGAATAACAAAAGACCGAAATATCCGCAATTGGTTGGAGACCACGGCGGAAATCTCGGCACGTATCAAGGAGAGGCCGATTAATTGGCAAATCATGAGATTTTTTACCTTGTATAGAATTGTATCAAGAGTAGGACACCCCTACTATATAAAGAGGGGTCTGATCATTTGTAACATACATTGTAACACGCACAAAGAAAGCAATATGCTGATCATTTCTAGTTCTTATCATCTTGTTCTGTTCTAACATTAGGAGACATTTCTTGGCTCAAGGGTGATTAAATTCAGAGGCTAAAGTTGTTCAATTTGTGTGGTTTGCATTTATTTTCTTATCGTTAATTTCAATATTAATTCGTCTTCTTAATTTGTATCAAGTCATATCACGTATCCTTAAAACCGCGTATAAATTTAATTGTTATCCTATTTTAAAGGTAAACATGTATTTTAATAATAGGTTCTATAGGAACCTATTTTCGCGTTGAGGAAGGATATGTATTTTAACGCGAAAACTCAACTAGTTATCCTATTTGGTCACAAAAAGCAAGCTCTGTCTTCCTTTCTTTCTTAAATTTTGTGCCTAAGTAAAACAACCTCATCTTAATTGAAGTTGAGGAAGGATATGTTAAGCATTGTACTCCCAATCGGCAATTCTATTTGCTGGAAAGAAATACTAACGCGAAAACTCAACTAGTTTTACTACGCAACACTTCGCCTCCGTTTCGCTCGCGTTTACCTTTCTCTTTTGTATTCTCTGCAAATTCTGCGTCCGCCTACCGTGTTCTCAAACTCCACCCTATTTCTCTCTCCTCTTTTACCCTTTTCCGATTTTTATTAGTTTCCTACCTCTCTTCGAATGTACTTGTCAAACAACATCTTTTCTCCCCTTTAGTTATTTATGAAATTGTGTGGGATACATTGATGTCAAAAATTCACCTCTTCTTCGTTCTTTTATAGTCTTAGGCTTTATGGTTTAATTTGGTGAATTATTTGGGATTAATTTATAATGAAAACATCCGGCAAATTCTTCACGATAGCGCTGGTAGCAGCATGGTATTCATCAAACATTGGGGTTTTATTACTGAACAAGTATTTGCTAAGCAATTATGGTTTCAAATACCCAATTTTCCTCACAATGTGTCATATGACTGCTTGCTCTTTATTCAGCTACATAGCCATTGCTTGGATGAAAATTGTTCCAATGCAAACTATGAGATCTAGGGTTCAGTTTATGAAGATCTCTGCTTTGAGCCTCGTCTTCTGTGGCTCTGTGGTTAGTGGCAACATTTCACTTAGGTACTTGCCTGTTTCATTCAATCAGGCTATTGGTGCTACTACGCCTTTTTTTACTGCTGTTTTTGCCTATTTGATGACAATGAGGAGGGAATCCTGGTTGACTTATGCTACTCTCCTTCCTGTTGTCGCCGGCGTTATCATTGCCAGTGGGGTATGTATTTTTCTTATGCATATTTCGTATAACTCTTAGCTTGAATTATGGTACAATGCCTAATGAATTGGGACAGCTTAAATTGTTTTTTAATCAATTAGAGTTCATGGCTTCGGTCTAGTGGCAAGAGCACGTGAAGTGTCGGTTAGGCAAACCGTGCGCCACTGGCCTATGGGATTTCTCGATTGTTTAAAAATAAAATTAGAGTTCAAGTTTATGTTTTATTAAAGAAACTGCCATGATTTTTATCCCTAGATGGGATAGCTTAGTGAGTGAGGCATGGGAGTAACAACCTGTATATCCTTGGAATCCGAGGTACAACAATTGTTGTGAGCAAGGATCAACTTGACAACCTGTGCTTATGGGCTAGACATGACATGTTACCTATTGGATTAGTCGAGATGCATACTAACTGGCCTAGATACCAAAAAAAAAAGGAATAGTTCAAATTTGTATGATTTCTTTTGCAATGTAGCCCCCCTCCTTCCACCCTTTTTGTTGAGAGGATGTATTAAGAGAGAGGACCATTATGTTTGAGCTATGTGAAGATATAAATCATGTCTACGTTATAACCATCAGATAGCCGGCTTTAAGATGAATGAACTTTTTAAAGATAAATGCTTTGAGTATTATTCCTTTCAGATTTAGTTGAATATTTGGGTAAGAACAAATTTTTGTTGTAGATTAGATTTGTCAATTGCAACCCAATATTTAAGCTTGTGTAAGTTGTGTTAAAGGATGCAGCTGTGAAGCTAGGCTATGGAAAGGGCTCACTAATACTCAAGATGATGAAATTGTATTGGTAATTAGTTTTGGTGGTACAATGCTGTGGGCTAGACATGTTACAACAATTGTTGTGAGCAAGGATCAACTTGACAACCTGTGCTTATGGGCTAGACATGTTACCTATTGGATTAGTCGAGATGCATACTAACTGGTCTAGATACCCCAAAAAAAAAAGGAATAGTTAAAATTTGTATGATTTCTTTTGCAATGTAGCCCCCCTCCTTCCACCCTTGTTGTTGGGAGGATGTATTAAGAGAGAGGACCGTTGTGTTTGAGCTATGTGAAGATATAAATCATGTCTACGTTATAACCATCAGATAGCCGGCTTTAAGATGAATGAACTTTTTAAAGATAAATGCTTTGAGTATTATTCCTTTCAGATTTAGTTGAATATTTGGGTAAGAACAATTTTTTGTTGTAGATTAGATTTGTCAATCGCAACCCAATATTTAAGCTTGTGTAAGTTGTGTTAAAGGATATAGCTGTGAAGCCTAGTGTGATACCCGCCATGTCATCATGCCACATAGGCGCCATTTGACATATATTAATGCCATGTGGAAGCTTACATAAGAAGAATGCTAGCATTTGTGAGAAGATTCTAGAGAGGTATGGACATTTCCTTAGGAAGAACCTAGATCCTTATGGATTTGCTAGGAAAGTCCTTGGAATCTTCTAGGCTTGTAGAGAATTCTAGAAAAAGCCCTTATCTTGTAAATATCAAGGACTTGTGCAATAATTAATATTTACACACTAGCCCCTAGAAAACTAGTATATAAAGGGGGCCATTCATTTGTAATTCATCAAGCAAACAATTCAAGTTCTCCCTAATAAAAAGCTTCCTTTAACAATTCTCTTGTGTTCTTTCTTCCATTCTCTTAGCGATCTTGAGTGTAGCAAGGCTGACTTGACATAACAAGAACGTGAGTAAGTTGTGCAAGATCGTGAATGAGCTGTCAAGTGCCGCACGTGTACTTGGTTAACAACTAAGGACGTGACACTAGGCTATGGAAAGGGCTCACTAATACTCAAGATGACGAAATTGTGCTGGCAATTAGTTTTGGTGGTACAATGCTGTGGGAATAAATCCATCTTGCTTCTGATTCATAGTTGTATTTCTTTTTAGGGTGAGCCAAGTTTTCACTTATTTGGTTTCATCATGTGTATTGGTGCAACAGCTGCTAGGGCACTCAAATCTGTGCTTCAAGGGATTTTGCTGTCATCGGAAGGGTAATGGTTACATGCATTTATGTGTTCTATATTTCAGTCAATCTGTTGCCAAATTTTGCACATTTGGACATAGGATAGGATTCTGAAATATATTCCGTTTATCAAGGGAGAAGCTGAATTCCATGAACCTTCTACTCTACATGGCTCCTATAGCAGTTGTACTTCTATTACCCGTGACAGTAATGATGGAAGAAAATGTAGTTGGTATCACTTTGGCACTTGCAAGAGATGATATTACAATCGTCTGGTTGTTGCTATTCAATTCAGCCCTTGCATATTTTGTAAACTTGACCAACTTTCTCGTCACTAAACACACTAGTGCTCTGACACTTCAGGTATTCTTTCTTGATTCTCTACTCAAGATACTCACTACATATTTTTATAGTCCTTGATTTTGTCGGATGAGATGAGTTGTGCTTGTATTTGAATTCAGAAATCAGTGGTGTTATCACATAATCCCTATGTTCTTTTATCTATAGTCTGGATATGTTCATGTCTTGATTTGTAACAAGTCCACAAAGTATGTACAAAATATGAAGATCCTATTTTACTTATTTGATTTTCCTGGCTTTTCATGCTCTTCATCAAATATAGCTGTCTTAGTTTGTCATTTGCTTTCGAGGAAGCACTTTCATTCTTTTCCATTTAATTTTGAGAAAAAGGTTCTGGAAAATGATTTGTCTACATTTAAAAGCTTTTACANCGGATCGCATGATGTATATGTTAGGCGTGCGTCACGGGTTCGAGCCCTGCTGTAGAAAAGCCTGATACTTAAGTGGAGAAGGATAGAGGGCAGGCCCATCATCCACTGAGTTTCGAACCTACCTTGTGTCGCTGGACCTCGAGATTTCTCAGTTATTATAAAAAGTTAATGGATCTCCTACTATGCAGTTGCTGGTGCCTGGTAGTATCAACTTTTACAGCTAATGATGTTTTTCAGATATTTCGTACTGATTCTCATCCATCTGTAATCTATACATTATGGATTCATTCTCTGTGTTCTGTCTTTTGTTGACTGATCTGGACTCTAGCGCGAGTAGTTCATTTTTTAACTCAATGGATATGTGCAACTGTATGGAATATTCATATTCCCTGATCCTCATGGAGACCAATGAATTGCATGAGGCTGTTTAATTGTACTTTGGAGAGTTGCACAAATAGCTAAGTAAAAATTAAACGTTGTAAGAAGTACAAGGTTTCACTTGAAGCTTTGGGAGGATTAGATACGTAGATGTGCTCAAAGCCATACATAGGAGATTTCTTTTAATTTGAGCAGCTATTTGATGAACAGAAGAACCCAATAAGACATGCCCCTCTGGTTAGCACATATATTCCATATGAAAGAACATGATCCCCTTTGATTAGCACATAGGATAGGTTAAGCAAATAAAGTTTGAATTATTCATCAAATTATGGGTTGAGATATGTTGGAAAGAGCAGCCATAATGTGTGTAAGCATACAGTTTGTAATTATGTTTCCTGTTTAAAAATATAGGTATCTTATCGCTTGTTATGAAGAAGTGGCATCAAGGCTAAACTATTATAGAGCATTATAGTTTTCATTCCGAATCTGGATGTCGATGTTGGACTTTGATCTAAGCCGAAAATGGTTATTGGTTAATAGTAATTGGGGAAACATAAGTTATTGTCGTGTTGCTTGTATTGGCTTTTGTGGTTATGTAGTATGTTGTCTTGGGAAGTAGAGATTCTATGATATAGATGGACGAGTTGAAAGTTGATTTACAGAGGGTTTAACATTATTGTACAATCACTTACACTTTTGGAGATGGAGAGGTGTAGTCTACTTATAGTATGTTCCTTCTATTTTTATGTGTTCCTTTTGTTCTTTCATTGGCCTTTTGATGCATAGTGCTTTACATTTATTTTTTGGGGGTGGTTTGAGTGAGGAGAGATGTATCTCTTCTGTTGTTGCTGTTTTCTTTAACAAGCTCTCTTGCCTTTACAGGTCCTGGGAAATGCAAAAGGAGCTGTAGCTGTTGTTGTCTCCATCTTAATATTTAGAAATCCGGTATCAGTAACGGGGATGCTTGGCTATACATTCACAGTTTTTGGGGTCATACTGTATAGTGAAGTAAAGAAACACAGTAAATGAACTATGGACCTGGAAATTCCACTGTGACTTATGATTAGAATTGATTGTTGTTCAAGGGGAGATTCAGCCTTCAAGAGGCAAGTCAGGTCATGCTCTTGTTGATGGGATCTTGGATTTTTCCAGGAAACGGGCTTCCATCTGTATCAGCCAAGAGCCGCAATATATCATATAATAGAAAATCGTAACAGGCAACATGATTTGTCTATCCATTCTACCCTACATGAGGTTATAGAAAGAAAGGTCTTTATTTTTGCAGGAAATATTGTACAATTAAGACCGCAATATGTTATACTACAGTATTCTTACTGATTTATCACATAAAAGGAACTGAAAGTTACAGATCTGCAAATGACTTGTACAAATCCAGATTTGGTTTAGCTGCATTGAAATGTTCATACTTTTGTGAAGTCTTTAAAGTTTCTTATGTCCCTATGTTTTAGCATGGATTCTATGCTTCTTGTCGCCGATCTGAAATGTGTCACGCAGAAGATTAGCTGCTACTGAAGTCCACCAAAAGCAACAATTGCTTGAACTCAAAATGCTCAGACATTTCAGTGTGTTGCTAAATGAAACTATACTAACTACGAACCTACGCATGGAAGTCTTAGTTTGTTAACTATATCCACATGTTCTACTCAATCTTGTCAACTATGCATGTGGCGCTCCTTTAGTCATTGAGCATCTGGACTCTAGCTTACTACAAAACAACTGGAAACCAGACGTGAGTTAAGACAAGCCTTTGCTGGTGTGGATTTCTGTAATAGAATCATGTACCTTCGAAATGAAAATGTCTGGAAACTAAATTAACTAATGCATGCATTTAAAAAAAAAGAAAAAAAATCGAGGAAATGTGCACATAGAAGGACCTTTCAGGACCAGAAACACAGTTAATAACAAAAGAATGCTTTTGATGTAAAATACTTGTGTCTTACGGAAAGAATAGATAGTCAGAACTTTCAAAATAAGTTGTCCAAAGGATCAAAGAGTAGAAGATGATGTAAAATTTGAATGAAACCTTGTCCATTGAAATATGAAAGAGAAGACAAACCTTGTCCACTGAATGTAACGATCTGATTGGTCGTTTTGAGCTCTAGCACGTCTTTCGGCGGTTTGAGGCATTTAGTAACTTCACATCATGTATTATGACTTGTACGTGTGGTCGGAATTGAATTTTGGGAAGTTCGGAGTTGATTTGGAAGGAAAATTCTCAATTCGGAAGCTTTAAGTTGGAAGAGTTGACCAAGGCTTGACTTTTCAGTAAGTGACCTTGGAGTAGGGATTTGAAAGTTCCAATAGGTTCGTATGATGATTTTGAACTTGGGAGTATATTCGGGTTGAGTATCGGATGGTCCGGAAACATTTCTGCGCTCATTGTGGAAAGTTGGCATTTTGAAGATTTTTGAATTTTCTAAGTTTGATTTGAAGTGGACTTTGGTGTTATTGATGTCCATTTGGGATTTCGAGCCTGGGACTGAGTTCATATAGTGATTTGTGACTTATACGCAAAGTTTGGCGTTATTCTGGAATGTTTAAGTATGATTCGGACGCGTTCAACGAGGTTTGAGTGTTCGAAAGATAAAAGAAGGATTTTGATCATGGATTTGGGATTTTGATGTTATTCGTGTCATTTCGAGCCTTTGGATAAGTTTGAATAAGGTATTGAGACTTGTTGGTATGATTGGATGGGATCCTAGGGGCCTCAGGTATGTTTCAGGATGGTTTCAAACCATTTCTCTATGTATTGCAGCTGCTGGTTTCTGGTATTGTTTGGTATATATCGCGATCGCGGAAGAAGGGTCACGATCGCGAAGAGTAAAGTGGACTGGTGGAGACTTTGTTCAGACATTTCTTGCACGATTAAGAGAATGGTCAATAACATACATTATAAGGGAAGAAAATGTGGAAGTAGATACGTTGGACAATTTGGGGTCATCCACAGAGATGAAAGGATCTGATTCTGGTACGGTCGTCCAACTCCTACATTTGGTGTTGGATGTGGATGGCTACAACGAGGTAAATTTGACCAACCTTGTCGAGGACTGGAGGAACGAGTGTATCAAATACCTCAAACATGGTAAATTACCTAAGGACCCAAAGGCGTCCCGGGCATTGCATACCAAGGAGGCTCACTACTGCCTCGTAGATGGACAGTTATATAGGAGGTCATTCCAAGGACCATTGGCCCGGCGTTGAGGGTCCTCGGAGGCGGACTACGTGATGGGGGAAGTCCACGAAGGAGTTTGTGGGAATCATTCTGGTACAGACTCATTAGTTCTAAAGCTGATTAGGGTAGGTTACTATTGGCCCTTGATGGAACATGACCCAAAGGCATTCGTTCAAAAGTGTGAAAAATGTCAACGTCATGCACAATTGGTGCACCAACCATCAGAACTTTTGCATTCGGTGTTGTACTTATGGCTGGTCATGAAATGGGGGATGGACATAGTTGGTCCTCTACTACTGGCCCCCGGGAAGGTAAGGTTTCTTTTAGTTTTAATTGCTTGCTTTACTAAATGGGTTGTAGCAGGACCTTACCAAAAGATAGGTGAACACAAAGTGGTCGACTTCCTATGGGATCACATAATCTTGTCGACATGGAATGCCGAAGGAAATCACTTATGACAACGGACAACAGTTCCTAGGTTCAAAAGTTACAAATTTTTTGGAAGGATTAAAAATCAATAGAATTACATATTCGCCATACCATCCAAGTGCTAACGGACAGGCGGAATCAACCAACAAGGTAATTATTCAGAACCATAAGAAGAAGTTAGAAGATGCCAAAAGTAAGTGGACTGATGAGCTACCGGGAGTGTTATGGGCATATCGGACAATGACGAAGTTGAGCACGGGAGAAACACCTTTCTCTCTCACATAAATTGCAGAAGTTCTGATACTGGTGGAAGTAGGAGAACCAACTTTGAGGTTTTCCCGAGAAAATAAAGAAAAAACAATGAAGCAGTGCTGATAAAGCTGGTTTTGCTCGATGAACATCAGGACTTGGCGTACGTAAGGATGGTGGCTCAAAGTAAAGGATGGAAAGACATTATAATCGCAGGTCCAATCTCCGTTATTTCAAAGTAGGAGATTTGGTTTTGAGGAAGGAAACTCAGAGCACTCGGGAAGTCAATGCCGAGAAGTTGGGACCAACCCCAAGAACTTACCGTAACCAACCCTGAACGCACTTTCGATCTCAAAGGAGTGTCATCTCCTCTCCAGGCCGGTGGAGCTTGCAACTATATGAAGCCGCTGGCTTCGACAAAGGATTGGAAGAAAATGGCCCCCTATCCGGGGAGTGTTTGATAAACAACAACATGCATAGTACGACACATGTATCATACTAGTTTCCTCCTATCTTCTTTTTTGCTTACATATTGCAATGGAAATCCTAACTTCAATCTTCTCTTTTATAGGTTAACCATCTTTCTTTTGAAGACATGCAGAGGTTGATCCTTGATAAACAAGGACTTGCTTCCGAGTAGGATCAACTTTTAGCTGAAAGGAACTAGCTTGCCGCGCCCTTCCCGGTGCTGGAGGCAAAAGTTGCAGAAATGGATGAGCTCGAGGCTTGGTTATAGCATAGAGAACAAGATAAGTTAGCCCACAACCAAGAAGCTGATCAACTGCACAAAGAACTTAGAGAGGCTAAAGCTAAGTGGATCAAACTTCAGCATGCTGTAATTGCCGCTGTCGAGCATAAGTCTGCCTTCGAGGAAAAAGTTAATAATATAAAGGCCGACTTGTGCTCCAAAACCAAGGAGGACAATGCTGTCGAGGAGAAGAGGTCTCGAATAGAAGAGAGGTTGTAGAAGACCATGGAGCAAAATTGGCTTCACTCAACTACCAATATTGAACTTGACTCCCACCTCAGCGCCATAAAAGCATAAAGAGAAGGTCTCCAAGATGAAATTGATAAACTCTAAGCAAAACTCCAGGACCAAGCCGGGCACATTGAGAGGAGATTCCTTCGGTGGCTCGGAAGATCCACAAGCTCTATTCCGAGCAACGACATTTTGCAATACTGTAAAGACCCGTAAAATTCTTAACCAAAACTCAGGATTTTATTGTGCCGAGTTGGTTCCCGCGTTATTAGCTCACCGCGGTTTGAACCTTTTGGATTGAGAAACACCCTGCAGACTTAGAGGAAAATGTTTCTCAAAAGAACGCATTTCTGCGGCCCATTATGCGGCCGCATAATCACTCTGGGGACCGCATAATGGCTGCAGAGTGAAACAGAAAGTTGGCCAATTTTGAGGCTTGTTATGCAGACCAATTGTGCGATCACATAATCGCTATGTGGGCTGCATGTTGATTGCATATCTGCCTTGAATTTTTACGGAGGGAATTTCTGCGGTGCATTATGCGACCGCAGAATAGATATACAGACCGCATACCGGTCGCATACTCAGTCAAAAACCTTAACTTCCTGAGGCTCTTTCTGTGCTCACTTTGTGGACCGCATAACTATTATGTGACCTGTGTCGCGGCACCTATTTTCTTAATATAAAACCCGACCCCCATTCCGTTAAAACACCCCCCTTAGGCCATTTTCAGCATATTTCTCTGATAATTAGAGTAAGAGAGAAGGATCAAAGAGAGGGGAATAATGTCTCCACCAGATGTTCATCAAATCCTATCCTAAACATCTTGAAGACTAACAATCAAGGCACCTAGGTCTCCCTTCCAAGAGGTAAGCTTCTATCACCAAGCTCTCAATCCCATATGGTAGCTAAAATGGACCATTAATGAGGTAATGCATGGGAATTAGGGTGGTTACCTTGCATGCATGTGATCCTAAGGTATGTGGGGGAGTGCTATAACAAAGATAAGAAAGAATGAGAAATGGGTTGGGGGAATCTTCCAATAGAAAAGGGCCATGAGACCCTAACAAACACATAATGTTTGATATAGTTCTCAAGTGAGCTAGGGCTATGATCAATTTTGTAATAATGAGTTCAATTGTGCTACATTGTTAAATAGATTGAAGGTGCCAAAGGTTACGAAACTTGTCGTAGGAATTAGGGGAAGACTCAATTAAGGTATATATGGCTAACCCTCTTCTTCTTAGTGTAGAACTCTTGGTGTCCGAATAATTGGCGTGAGTTCCGAGTTGATCATACTAGATGGATTGCCTTAATGTGTTTGGGTTGAAGATTTTTGTTCCATAATTGTTCTAAGTGTTTACCCTGAAATCATGCTATTTGAAAATGTGATTATGTTCTCCAAGATTTTCTTTTTTGTTCCTTATGTGTGCATGCCTTATATGATAGCACTTATTGACATGGATGATGAAGTTATTTGAACAAATATTAAAGGGAAAGACTTGAATTATAAAATGCGTCCAAGTGCCAAGAACTACCTAATAAATGGGGCTATTTGTGCC